GGGGACGCTACACAGGTTTTCTTGAAATGACCACCCTTTCTTAGTCACTAGTTTTCAAGATAATGAAAAGCTGACGTATTCTTTTTCTGAAAAGGCTTCAAGGCAGAGTTAACAGAAGCATCTTTGCGGTGCGTGATGTGACGGACGCAGACTGTGACAGGAAAATCTCCCAACGATGTCTCACATAATCAATATCTTTCACCACGAAACACCCCTTGACCCACACACCCACAAACAAAACTTTTTCTTCTCGTGTAAAAGTGTCACGAACGGACATAAACGAGGGAAAATAAGGGGGTCTAAAATACTATTACTACTGCACTCCAGGGCAGTTCAACGGTGGCTGTGATCACAGTCCCTCGTCTCCGTCGTGAGAACATCAAAAACTCATCATATCAAGTGCTATTATCGAAAACACTGTAACGAGAAGAAGGTCTAACCGGACACAACTTCCATACCAAAAAACCAGAAAACTAGACCAAGAAGAAAAACTGTTCTCCGCTCTAAAAACACGGTAAACGATTATGACGTAAGGCGTCCAAAAGGAGCGAGAGTTTGAACTCCCGTTTGAACTTACAACAGATATGGCTGTAACTAAGTGTAAGAGATAGTAGGGGTCAAAGCATGCATACGCGAAATGTGTACAATAATGCACGACGTGGGAAAAGTGGGAAATAGTAAGTTCATGACTGCGCAGTCATGACACTCCCGAGGAACAAAAGAAACAAACTATTTTACTGTGGCATTGAATAAGACAATGGAATAGATACTGTCTACATACATACATACGTAGAAACGAAGGTGAAAGCTACAGACACCAGCTCAGCCTGCATTTGTGCATTGAGCCTTTCCTTTGCCTTCTGGGCGGCCATGCGCTGAGGCCTGCTGCTAGCAACATCAGTGCTGCCGTTGTCGATCACATCAGTGTTCTCCTTCTCCTCCATTGCGGTCACTTCTAGTGGGTAGAGGTGGTTGATCGGTCGGTTCAGGATGGAGTTGGTCGTCTGTACTGTCGCCGAACGAGTCTTGCCGTCCTGCGCGCTGTCATGCAGTTCTCTGATTTTTCCCATCTTCCACATTCCACGTGGTAGCTGGTCGTTCTTGATCATGACCATGTCGCCAATCTTGGGATCAGTGGTTCGGCTCCTCCTGAGACGATGGTTGATTGGCTGTCGGCTGCGAAGTGCAAGGATATAGTCATCTCTCCACAACTTCCAGAACGTGTCCAGTGCAGCTTGCTGCTTCTTCTGCAGCGACGTAATAGTAGCGACTGGATCTCTTTGGGGCATGTAGTCATCTGACTGGATATCGTCAGGAAGTCCCAGTGAGCGAGTTGGGGCAATGAAGTGGTTTGGCGTGATGATTCCATCTGTCGACTCTGACGGTACATACGTCAATGGGCGTGTGTTGAGCATTGCCTCAACTTCCGTTGTGATTGTGTTGAACTGCTCGTAGGTGAATCGACTGCGGCCAATGGCTTTGTGGAAAGCTCGCTTCACCAGACCAACTAGTCGCTCATAGAAACCGCCTTGCCACGGTGCAAACTCAGTGGTGAAAACTCAGGTTACCTTGTGTTCTGCAAGGTAGCAGGCCAGCTCAGGGCAGGTTAGGATCTTTTTCCACTTCTGATCGAGGTACGTCTGTGCCAACTTGAACTGTGGCGCATTGTCTGAGATGATCTTGTCAGGTCGTCCTCGCCTGGCAATGAATCGTTTCAAACAGTTGACGAACTGGGCCGTTGTTAATCCCATCACTACTTCCAAATGAACCGCACGGGTTGCCATACAGGTGAAGAGGCACACCCATACCTTCTGTGTTGTACTGCTGATGTTGACGCTGAATGGGCCGAGATAGTCGAGGCCGATGTACTGAAATGGATGAGACTGCTGTACTCGTTCTGCTGGTAGCTGTGGCATCTGGGGTAGACGGAACGGTTGCCCTTCGTGTTTCTGGCAAATGACACATTTACTCAGAACGGCTTTCACAGCTGCTCGCCCTTGTGGAAGCCAGTACTTCTGTCGAATCTGGGCAAGTGTGTGAGACACTCCGGCATGAATGAGACGCGCATGAACTTCCCGGATGATCAGAGTACTTAGCTTACTGTGTCGGGATATCAGCATAGGGCGAGTCGCATCTTCAGGTAGCTGAGCATTGTCTAGCCTTCCATGGCATCTTAGCAGTCCTTCAGCATCCAGGCGAAGTCCGAGCTGGTCTTGAAGGGGGTGACGAGTACCGCTGTCTATAGCTTTGAACGCATCCGTGAAGTTCTGTCGTTGGTGTTGTCTGATGATGATCTTCTCTGCGATGCTGAGATCACTGGCTGCTACGTACTTGGTGCGCGAAGCATCATCAAAGACCATTGCTGCGAGGGGAATCTTTGGCCGTAGCTTCTCTCGTGTGCTGCTACTGACCTTGCTCCAGATCTTTTTGCCAATGAAACGGAGGCAGATTGCTGTAGTCCTCAAGAGCGATCTGAGGGATGAAACACGTTGTTCTGCTGCCTGAAGCGAATACGTTTCTGTGCTGTCGTTGATGACGGCAGCTGTGTTCCCAATTGTAATGAGAGGGGAGCGTCTCTCTTTGTCTGCTTCTGCAATGTCTTCTTGCGTGACGATCAGTTTTCCTGTTGGCCAGTCCTCTTTGTCTCCTGCTAACCATGCAGGACCCTGCCACCAGAGAGAAGACGCCTTCAACTCCTCTGGCTGAAGACCGCGTGTTGCTATGTCTGCAGGGTTGTCCTGGGACTGAACGTGACGAAACTGTAGCTGCTGATTGGATTTCACTTCCTTCACACGATTGGCAACAAATGTTGAGAGATGATGGGGCGTTGTGAGCCAGTGGAGAACACACTTGGCATCAGTCCAGAGGTATGTTGGGATGTTGTTCTGAAGTTGAAGCTGGGATTGGATGAACTTGACCATCCTGAATCCGATGACCACGCCGAGCAGTTCCATACGAGGAATGGTGACCGATTGCTTCTTGGACGGTTTGTTGGCTGACGGGGTCAGTCGGGATCTGGAGAAGATGAGATTCACCGTGTACTTGTTGGAATCCGGAATCTGCACTTGGAGGTAAGCTGCTGCTGCATATGCATCCTTGGATGCATCTGTGAAGATATGTAGACTCATCGGTTGACTTGCACTCGCAGGACCAATGAACCTTGGAATGGTGACGGTCGTCGTCTGCCGGAGTGCTGATTGGATGTTGTCCCACTCCAGGAGCATTGGTGCGGACAATGGGGCATCCCACTCCAGACCTTCCTCCCATAGCCGACGAAGGTACCGCTTCCCTTGCAGTGTAGATGGTGTCATCAATCCGAGTGGGTCAAACACGCTTGCCACTTTGTTCAGCACGCTGCGCTTTGTGACTGGACCGACTGATTTCTCATTGATGCTGTTGGACACGGCGATGTTATCTGCTTTGCTATCCCACTTGAGCCCAAGGACTTTGGTAGATGCTGATGGCAATCGGTCGATTTCCTGAATCTTGTCCAACACTTTGTCGGAGTTGGAGGTCCAGTCCCGTAGGTTCATGGATGCATCTGAGAACAGCTGCTTGGCTTCCTTGTAGAGATGAATACCTTCTTCTGGGGAGTAGACCGTGGTTATTAGGTTGTCCACATACAGATCACGTGCAATAGCACCAGACACATCGGTCTGGGCCTGTGTGAGGTGCAGCTGAATGGTAGCAGCGAGCAGAAATGGGCTCGAGACTACACCGAACGGCACTCGACAGAAACGGTACGCTGTGACATTGCCGTTAACCTTCTCAGGTGTGGTACAGTCCTTGTACCAGATGAATCGGGTGACGTCCCTGTCACTTGGCTGAATAGAAATTTGAAGAAATGCTTTCTCTACGTCAGCGCTAATCACAATTGGCTTGAGACGGAAACGCATTAGCAGGCCGCAGAGGTCAGGGAGTAGCACTGGGCCACGGTAGAGGCAGTCGTTCAGGCTTGGAGATGTTGCACTCGCTTTGGCTGATGCATCATACACTATCCTGACCTTTGTTGACTTCGCTGGTGTCACAACGGGGTGGTGTGGCAAATAGTGTTGTTTACCACTGGTTCCGGAAAGTTGAACTTCTTCAATGATTCCCTTAGCTAGCTGCTGTCGGATCACCTTGTCATAACTCTCGAGCAACTGTCCGTCTGTAGCGAGTCGTTTGGCCAGTGATTTCATTCGGCCAAGGGCTAAGCCGTAGTTGCTAGGAAGTTGATCTTTGGTGTCATCAGGCTTCCATGGCCATTGGATGGAATACCTGCCATCGGAATATTCCGTTGTCTTGCGAAATTGCGCCAGTGCGATTTCGTCATCATTCGCGTAGGGTGAATCCTTGATTCCGATATTCTCCAGTTGCCAGAATTGAGACAGTACACTGTCCTCTGTGTTACGGTTGGAGACGCTTGCAGCGCCTGAGAAAATCGAACCGCTGCTGGTAACCACCAGGGAGGTCGTGTCATCATTGCTGCATTCATCCGGTAGTGAACTGCAGCCGGTGAGCAGGTATCCAAATTCGGAGGAGACTAGCTTGAGTCCTGATGGCAGTGTGATAACATTATTGCCCACCAGTTGCCAAAAGTAGTCAGCACCAATTAGAAAGTCGATGTTGACAGTTTGCATTGCGTGAGGCACAGAATCTGCTAGCGCTGTTGGAGACAGCTGTTCAAGAAACGCCAAGTCGGTCTGTTGCACGGCTTGTTTCACAATTGGGTTGGTTATGGTAGGCAGAGTATTCACCATTATCTGTGCCATGTTACCGTCTCGGAGGTTGACAGCGAGTTGGAACGATTGCGAATTGAAGCTCTTGGACTTAGTTGCTGCCATGGTGTTCAGGTAGAGCCTCTCTTCATTCTCGACTGGTAGCTGGAGTCGTTTAGCTAGAGCTGCAGTGATGAACGATCGTTGGCTGCCACTGTCCAGTAGTGTGTTGACCGTGACCTTCTTCCCACAATGGTCAGTCACGTTACACTTAGCGGTTTGCAGCATGGCTGACTGAATAACTGCTTTCAGTGTTGAGACGCTCGTGGTGGCTAGTTCCGTGGTTTCATCTGGAATTGCCGCCGGCTCTTGGCTTGGCATCTCTGCCGGTGACAAAGCTGCGATTGCTGCTGTCTGTGGACTGCCATTGGCCAGTGAATTTGTTTGCTGGTGTTTCGGAACTTCGACTGCTGGATTATATTGTTGACCCTTCTTGGGACAAATAGCACGACTGTGGCCTGTTCCGCTACAGTGGTAGCAATTTCTACTACGGTGTGCACAATTCCTTGCGATATGGCCTTCTTTGAGGCACACAAAGCACCTACGTAGGGACAACAGTTGATCCTTCCTGGAATCCAGTGTTGAGTAGTTGGTACACTCATCACTGAAATGGCTTGACCGACAGAAGACGCAGGACGGTTCTCTTCTGGGGCTTGCCTGGCTGGATACGAATCCCATTGTTGGTGGACGATGGTGTTGTTGCTGGTGTCCATGTATCTTAGGCTGAGGTGTCTGGCTGATGTTGTCGGTGAACTGACGAACTGTGTTCTGCATTGCTACATACTTCGCTAGCATCTCCCGTACTGTTTTGACCGTCCATGGCACAGTATGGTCGGATCTCTGCTCCTCCAGTTTGCTGACGAGCTGGAACGGGAACTTCGAGAAGAGTTGCTGAATGAGGACGCGCTGAGTATCAAGGTTCTCTCCCTGAGCTTCCAATTGACGAAGGAGTTTCTCCATTTGGTCAATGGTAGCCTTCACTTCAGTAAACCTGTTGTTACATTGTGGCAGCTGTGCCAGTTTACGATACAGTGTTGCCACTATCAGCTCAGGCTGTCCAAATTTGTCCTTCAGCATCGTAACTGCGATAGGATAGTTGGCTGCTGTTATTGGAATGCCTTCGATGGCTGCTGCGGCGACACCCGTCAGGACGCTTTTGAGGTACGTGAATTTTGATACGTCCGGCAACGATTGACGAAGACCAACAGAGGACTCAAATGTCTGCCAGAATTCTGGCCAGTCCATGATGTCTCCATTGAACTGAGACAGTTTCAGCTGAGGAAGTTTCACCACTGGACTGGAGCGTGCAGCTTGCATGGCTGCTACTGCTGCCTGTGCCGCCACCTCAATGGTGGACAGCGTTGTTGGTGTACTGTGTATGCTGACACTTGACGATGCTCGTCGGATGCCATCTACATTGATCATAGCTGGAGACTCGTTCTGGTCTCTAGGATCTTCTTCCAGCTGCACTGCTGTTTGTTGATGCGCCTCCTCATCAACTACTGGTATGTCCTCAGTGGCACTGGCACTATTGGTGGTGGCATCCACTGAAGTCACTGAGGCTTTCTGGTGCTGTTGCTGAGCAGCCAGAATGGCGGATTGGGACTGACGCTTCAATTTCTCCTCTTCAAATACGACTTGGTCGACAGCTATCTGGGCATCTTCAAAAATGCGCCAAGACACATTAAATTCACGCTCCCACTCCTCTTCTTCGTCGTGTACACTACATCTTTCTAAGTCGTCCAGAACATTGAAAATCTCATCCTGGGTGAGTAGTATTTCTCGTTTCAACTGTACAGCATCGTCAATCTGGGGCTGAAGCCTCTTTGGATCGATCCATACTTCCACATAGCTTTCTGTTGTTTTTTCCAAAATGTACGCAGTACATGCTCTGATGCGCTCGTATCTTCGCATGCACCGGCGTCGACGCTTCTGCGCGTCCTTGATGGCCTGCAGGCCTTTCTTCTGGGAGTCATCTTCCTGACATGTTGTGGCTGTAGCACAACCTTCAGTGGCTTCACTAGTACGATTAGAGTCTTCACTTGACATCATATCCTATCCTGGTCACAGCACCATGTCACGAACGGACATAAACGAGGGAAAATAAGGGGGTCTAAAATACTATTACTACTGCACTCCAGGGCAGTTCAACGGTGGCTGTGATCACAGTCCCTCGTCTCCGTCGTGAGAACATCAAAAACTCATCATATCAAGTGCTATTATCGAAAACACTGTAACGAGAAGAAGGTCTAACCGGACACAACTTCCATACCAAAAAACCAGAAAACTAGACCAAGAAGAAAAACTGTTCTCCGCTCTAAAAACACGGTAAACGATTATGACGTAAGGCGTCCAAAAGGAGCGAGAGTTTGAACTCCCGTTTGAACTTACAACAGATATGGCTGTAACTAAGTGTAAGAGATAGTAGGGGTCAAAGCATGCATACGCGAAATGTGTACAATAATGCACGACGTGGGAAAAGTGGGAAATAGTAAGTTCATGACTGCGCAGTCATGACAAAAAGATCGATATTAAAAATAATCATGGACATGGTTTCGTTCACGTTTTGTGATGAAGGCACCAATCTGTGTTCATCATTGCAGTCATGCTCGATCTCAAATCTTGTCTTTGAATTCATATAAAAAGAGCCACTCATAAAGCAGCCTCCCCCTCCACACTGACCAGAAGGACAGTGCAGAACGGTCATCAATCACCAGCACTCTTGCATCCAAACATGGATGCTGTTGTGCTGGCGCGCTTCCCGCTCAGGAGAGGATGCTACATGTCATCCTCGTGGCTTATGCGGTTGTCTTTGTAGGAGAACAAAGACGGGATACGTACTATAGAAATGATCCTAGTGAGTACGATCTTGATTTTCAACCAGCAGCCAGCTCTCCTATACATGTAGTCTGGCCCCAGTGTCTATCATCACAAGTTTGTCCACTTTTCTCGCGGCTTCAAACCGATTCACGTCAATCTGAGTGCGGCAAAATAACATTCTAACTTTCGAGTACTATTTTCATCAGATTGTGCCGAAGCATTGCCATGGTGATTAATTGTGAATAACATTTTCCCTTACGGATTCAGAGTGTCAGGTTGATATCCAAATACCAGTGAGATGCTGCTATACGTGAAACGTAGAGAAATCACGTAGAGAGCAGGCGTCTCGGTCAGAGTCTACGGCTTCGTGTCTTTTGGGTCCAGATTTCTACGTGGAGATGAGGTTCCCTACGTTATGGCACACAAAGAAAATGGACCTGCTGGGAAATTTCCAGTGCACATTTCACGTGATTACTCCACGTGAACGTAGAGCAGAAAAGGTTTCCATCACGTTATGGGAACGCGAAGAGGGTTCCCAGGATTATCTGCGTCGTGTTGCCGTAATGCAGAGCGGAACGTCAATATTGCTAATGCCAACGGTCATTGATCTATGTAGCTGCTACATGTCTAGACGGTACAGGAATTGCAGGAGCACTTCCTCGTTTCCCTACTGCCATTTGTTCTCGCGATAGACCATTTTATAGAGACTCTACTGCATTGGCCAAGTTGTGGAATGAAGGGTTGTCCAGAAAAGCCTAAGAACCTCTCTCATGAAATTGCAACAAAATGGGCCGTAATTGAAATTAATGTACATTGTCATAGTGCCAAAAGTGCATAAACTACCAACTCTGCATAAGGGGTCTATTTACGGCGAAAACTCACATTACGCATTCCAGGTATGTTTCATATTACCAAGAGTACAAACATGAAAGCTCCCAAGAGTGTGCAACTCCTGATACCCTCCTTTCTATGGGGGGTCCGCCGGCGCTAAAGTTCACAACGCGTGGTGTAGTGGCAACGTTGTAGGTTACCTGCCCGTTGCTAGCGAGCAGCGGAGTAATACAAGAATAGAAATTAGCACTCCGTGACAGAAATCCACTTGGCTTATTATCGCATTTCGTGCCTGCTGGCCTTCGTTGTAGACCTACATAGTACAAACTGTACCTCAAACACGTGATGTGCGTTTTCGCCGCAGAAGACTCCATGTGCAGAGTTGAACACTCTTGGGAGATCATTTTACTCTTCACATCACGTACAGAATCATGCCGATGATTCGCACAATCGGAGTGGGTTTCTTTCTGCCAGGGAGTCCTAATTTTATTGCTCCATTGCTCACTACAATAGGCTGGGAATGCACATGTACAGTGTGAATACTGCACCATATTTCCAAGAGTATATAACTTCCCACCGGGGCTTATAATTATGTACTCTCGATATCTCTGGGAGCAAAAATCAGTCTCAGCCACCTATCTCTACTTTTTTTTCCTTTCGTGCCCAAATCTTTCGAAAAATACCAAAAAAGTTCAGATCGTCCCCGGGTGGGCTTGAACCACCAACCTTTCGGTTAACCCATTCAGCGCTACTGGGCCTTGCCTATGGTACTCTGCATATAAAATGCTAAAAACAGGGCCAATAGGAAGTTCTAAAACTGCAGGGTTCTGGCAACTGGGGTCCTCAAATATTTTGGAAATGATTGCCAAGACTATCAACCACAGGGTGACAGAATCGATACAGTCCCCAAAACGAATAGCGCCTCACAATAGGGGACGCAAGTTTGCTCAAATTGCGTGAAATACGCCAAATGCGTGAAATTGCAGCTGAAAGATCGCTGAAAAGAGAAGAAAAAAAAGACGCATAGTGTTTCCAAGCGGGATTCGTACCAACGACCTATCGTACAAGAGGCATGATCATGATCCAACTGACTAACAGTGCTCTTACACACCAGTCAGTGCCAGAAATCACTATATATCCCATGACGTCTATAGACGTCATCCCGCGCATGGGGGGCATTTTCAATGACGTCTATAGACGTCATCAGCGTTCAATGGGTTAACAGCCGAACGCGCTAACCGATTGCGCCACGGAGACAAGTTGCACATTCATTGGGTATGCGAGTCTATTGACTGAAAGCTTTCGTTGCATTCTGGCCATCAGCTAAGCAGAGCTTCCACACATATAAGGTCTAAAATGGGATTTGCAGAAGCTTTTTGCAGGGCAATAAGCAGTCAAACTGCTGCAAAATCCTGGGAAGATCCCATGTAACCCGCTTATGAGCAGCTCAGGTCATGCACAACGAGAATTTACGAATAGAGCGGTGAGAATCGTGATCTTTCTTACCGTCAGGATATGCTTGAAATAATGCAGTTGAGGTGTGTGCATACAGGCTGCATAGATGGCGAGCAGCACTTTCGAGATGACCATAGCACACGGACCTGGACAGGTTCCTTGACCTAAATGGCAATACATGCACCACAGCGGGAAACCGCAAAGAATGTTTGACAGTCCACGCACCAGAGAAAAAGCATATGAACTGAATCAAAACAAAATAACCCCACTACTTCTTCCCTCTGATTTTCTTTCTTTTGTCCGCGAAGAAGGCGGAGAGCCGGAACGCGGACCTTTACGTTTATGCTGTTGGTCGTTTGTCTTTTTATTGCACGGGAAAGGCGGATAGCCCAAATGTGCAGATAAAATCAAAAAGCTTCTCATACGCTTTGGCAAGGAACATCCCTGGATGGGGACTTCACGTTGGCAAAGGAAGAAAAAAGGGGGTCTGCAAATGCGCAAAATCATCGCTTGAGAAAAAAAGAAGCGCCCAACGTGGGGCTCGAACCCACGACCCTGAGATTAAGAGTCTCATGCTCTACCGACTGAGCTAGCCGGGCTGCTTATCCGGTACCTGCAAGCGGGGCAAAACACTTCAAACTGGGTGCATATTCTTTACAATAGGCCTGCAGCAGGATAAGCAGCGTGTTGGCAATAACCCTGTATACATTCAGTGTCATTCACCATATTTCAGTTATTACATATGGAAAGCTGAATGGATCAGCGGGACTCCGTATACGTCCAGCACTCGAGGTCCCGGGCACACAACGGGTGTTCATCACCACAGCATAGAGGTGAGATCTAACACGCATGCGTTTGTTGAAACCCGAGGTCCGGTGGTGAGCTTTGAAAAATAGCTGTCCGGAAATTGAGCATGGTGGTCAACTCATCAACTTCTTGATTGAAAAATAGCTGAACAACGAAAAATGCTTCCGTAGCAATCACAGTAATGCCATGGAGTATTGCACACAGTAATACCATGGAGTATTGCACACAGTAATGCCATGGAGTATTGCACAACACCTGAGTACTGTTGCACAGTTAGAGCATGTACGCCTATTTCCCCGAAGTCCAAAACACTTGACGTTACCGTTTTTTTGCGTAACCTCCGAATCAAACGATTTTCGTAGGCTTTTTGTGATGTCTGATCCGTCAAACACTACGAAACTTCGTTATGGCGGGTATGCACAACCTCTCTGTTGCAACATGTGAACACATATCCAATCGTGGCCACTGGTCACCCGTCAATGATATTCCTTTCTTTATTATTTATATTGAAGAGCCACTCATAAAGCAGCCTCCCCCTCCACACTGACCAGAAGGACAGTGCAGAACGGTCATCAATCACCAGCACTCTTGCATCCAAACATGGATGCTGTCGTGCTGGTGCGCTTCCCGCTCAGGGGAGGATGCTACATGTCATCCTCGTGGCTTATGCAGTTGTCTTTGTAGGAGAACAAAGACGGGATACGTACTATAGAAATGATCCTAGTGAGTACGATCTTGATTGTCAACCTGCAGTCAACTCTCCTATAAACACATTCGGACTCTAGTGTTCATCATCACAGTCCTGTCCAAATCCCATCGGCAAAAGTTAACTTCTTCTCCTCTTTGCCAGGGCAATACTGATAGTACAGTGTCTACAGTTTACACTGGCCACTGTCTGGAAAAGTCGGGTTGGCATGACGACCATCCCACGCACGGGTTGTTCTTGCAACGAGTTCAGTGCTGAATGTCTTCCCTTGTTCCGGTTTTCACACACACGAGGAGGGCACGTTCAACATGCAGCACTATCGACAGCTCCCGTTGCCAGGCCACATACAAACACCTGTCTTCTTTGTACTGTGGCTTGTACAGAATTGTTTGAATAATATTATTGATTAGGCCACCCATCTTTAATTCGTTGTTTCGGGTCACTTCACTCATCCGTACCAGGGTCGGTCGGTCGTGTTTATTTTTTATTTTGGTTACTGCGATGCAACGGTGCATACATGATTGTACAATTGTGCATATCCAATGGGTTTTGTCCATCAAGCCAGTCTATCAAATCTGACTGTAGACGATCCAGCGCAGCCATTGTCCCATCAGATCCAGGTCCCCTCCACTCCAGGACCAGACATTGGCCTCGCTTGCAATCGAGTCTGACGAGCAGCTCTCACCAGAACTTTTGTCAATGAGCGACGCGGTGGCGGAGCTGATGCTGACCTGTTTCAGGACCGATTGCGGATTGGAGATAATAGGGAGGTTCTGCTATACGTGAAACGTAGAGAAATCACGTAGAGAGCAGGTGTCTGGGTGAGAGTCTACGGCTTCGCGTGTTTTGGCTCCAGATTTCTACGCGGAGATGGGGTTCTCTACGTTGTGGCACACGCAGAGAAAATGCGTACGGATTTGCTGGGTATCGATCAACTGCATGCAGAAAACTGCCAAATATGGAAGGGGAAATTCCCAGTACACATTCCACGTGACTTCTCTAGGTGAAACGTAGAGCAGAACAGCATTTCTTTACGTTACGGGAACGCGAAGAAAGTTCGCGTGATTCTTTGCGTCGCGTTCCCAAAACGTAGAGCAGAACCTCCCTAATAGAAGACAACGTCGTCACCAAGCGCTGCATCCTGTCATTTGGCTGCTTCTGAGCAAGACGTCATGAGGTCGATGTCTAGAGTCATGAACATAGTTATTTTCATGCACAATAAAAAAATTTTGGGGGTCGGGTGAAAAAAGATGGTCGGTCGGGTGACCCGAAACAACGAATTAATTCTGGGTGGCCTTATATTTATGATTTTGTGCAAGTCCCCTATGTCTGAAACCGCACACACTCGGTTTCACGTACTCTTGTTTTTGCCATGCAATTGCATCAACACTGTCAAATGCAGCGTCCAGCCTGAAGCCTACTTGGATTTGAGATTTACACCACTGCTTCAGTGAGTGTGCAAGTCCCATATGGTCTAGTGGTTAGGATTTCTGGTTTTCACCCAGACGGCCCGGGTTCAATTCCCGGTGTGGGAACACCTAACTTTTTTTTCTTTTTTTCTGCGCATGCAGTTTGCCCAAAATACTCGTTCTCGGGTGAGCTTGGACCACCAACTTTTCGGTCAACAGCCGAACGTCCAAAGAGCTGCCAAACGTACATGTACCCTGAGTCTCGCACATTCACATTAGCACCCCATAAACCGCATGCAATCTGAAACCGAGCAAGTGAGTTTCAAGTTGATTTTTGCAGTACATTACGTGTATGACTGTATATCATGACACTTTTGCCCAAAAAATACCCCAACCCTTCCGGTGGACATCGTTATGGCCCTTTGTGGTACGGAGTGAGGACAATGTAATGCAGCTATTACAGGAGGGTGGACCTTTCAAAGTTCCTTTTTTCCTTTTTGGAGTTTCACCAAAACACCAGGACGCCGATATATTAAAAAAGTATCCTGTTGAACTTTCACAACCACTGACAACGTCAGGGCTAGTTTCTATTTCTATCAATTTTCCGATAACTTCAGACAACGACTTACCATGTGAATCACCCCAAGACGGCTCATGATCAGAATGACTGCTATGGTGCAAAATCAGCTCGGGGTGATGTGACTGCGGTGATGCATGATTAGCTGGAGATCATGTGACTGCTATCATCCACATCTACAATCAGCTGGGGATCACGTGATTTCTAAGACCATCGCATCCTGGACTTGATACCCACATCCTCCCGGCAGCAGCAAGCCCTGGCATGCGAAACAGCACTGCGGCTATGCCACTTGCGGAGCCTAACAAAAAAGGACAGGAATGGAAGCAGAGCAGCACACCAAACAAAAGGACATTCACTTGAACACACAGAGACTGCACACTTTGCGTCCTGGTTGAGCAAAGGCAGAATATTGTCAAAAGATGTGAGTCATGCCGCCCAAGTCATGCCGCACTGCAAACCTGGGTAGAGTGCAAACCAGAGCACGCACTGCATGGGTATTGCCCAAGCCGATGTTGTCCAAGTGGTTCCTGCTCTCTTTATACTATCCAACACAGCACTCCCCCCCCCCCCCCCACACACACCAACCTGTTTGATGATGCAATGAACCAGTTGAGATATACCCTGTCTCGTGTTCTACAAACCATGCTCTTTTCTCTTATGAAGTAGAAGGTCAGGGATAGACGAACAAGGCGGTTACACTAAATGCTGCATTCCTAGTTGGTGCAGTTGCACCACACCTGTAGTCATGGTAGTCACATGCATAGCTCCTGATTGGACAGGGAGCACTCTGGCCAGGTATAAGTAGGGCTGTCACACATCAGTTCATCCTCTTCCAACTCAGTCTGATTCTGAGTCTACATCTGATCTACAACAGTTACTGAACTGTGACCTACTCGTGAGTTTGATCTGATGATTCTCCTTGTCTGCTGCCTGGCCCACTGAGGCCAGGCTACACGTGCGAATCTCTCCAAGTAAAACAAAGTTAACCTTCCAAGACGCGACTGAATAACCTCCTCTACAGAGCACATAATCTCGGGGGTTCGCGTGCCAACAAGAAACTGGCTTTGACAAAAACGAGCCGATTTTCATGTGTGCTGCTGCTGCGTCCATTGCCAACGAGCACTCACCCACCGAAGTCCCGTATATTCCCAAGCTAGAGAGTAAAAAAAAGAAAGCGCCCAACGTGGGGCTCGAACCCACGACCCTGAGATTAAGAGTCTCATGCTCTACCGACTGAGCTAGCCGGGCTGCTACATAAGAAGCTCTATGTCATCGAAGAGAAGAATTTATTTGTTTGATGACATACAACAGTGAAGTTGCTCCTCTTATAGACAGCTCACCAACATGCAGATAGATGATACCCCTGGCACTTGCCTTTACGATAAACACCGTTGATTGTGAAACTGTGGAAGTGAGATCTCCGACGGTGAAAATTACATTGCACGGTCCACAGCAGTTAGAGATTCCATGCATTGTGCTGTGCCGTATGCAGTACTGGTCTATTGACGACTGACCTGAATGTCCCAGAAACCTATCCACTTTCCATCGGCGCACTTCAGTTCCACCATCCTCTGTCTACAGTCATCAGCGTGGTAGAACGGAACAAGAAAAAGTCTGAAGAAAGCAACAGTGACCGTCACAAACCGGACTTGAATGAGGACACTTTACTACAGGTGGATCATGCTACAGTGCCGGCAACTGAAATCCGACCCCCGGGAAGTGCGTTCACATCCTAGCGGTCTCTATTTCGTCGTGTTACAATCCTGTATTGGGTCTTTGCGATGTGAGCGCACCGCTCAGGAGTCGGAGTTCAGTTGCCGGCACTGTAAAGCCACTAAGACATGCATTCTGCCTTGAGAAAACATCCAGGACTAGCACACTGAGACTGCCGGTCACTGTTGTATGTAATCATACACAAAATTCTTCTCTTCGATGACATTATAGTTTCTCATGTAGCAGCCCGGCTAGCTCAGTCGGTAGAGCATGAGACTCTTAATCTCAGGGTCGTGGGTTCGAGCCCCACGTTGGGCGCTCTCTTTTTTTTTTAAATCTCTGACCTGAGATTGCATGGGGCGCCGGCAAGAGTCCATAAACAAGAGTATGCAACTGTGATCTCTTTTCTATGGGCCAGATGCGCGGCGCGCTGCCTTCATTACATCATTCAGCTGCAGTCCGCGCACTGCGGAAAATCAAACACCGCACTTTCTCTCTGGTTTGAAATGAACTTTCGTACGGAACTGGAGTTCACGCGCCAGAATTCAGAGATCGCGTAGGTACTGGAACGAATCGAGCAAAAACGGATGGGCTCGTACGAGAAATTGTGAGTTTGAATGCATGCTTTCAGAGCGTGATGAAGGCAAGTTACGTAATGAAGGCAGCGCGCCGCGCACTGGGCCATAACCACAGTTGCATACTCTTGTTTATGCACTCTTGGCGCCGGTTGTGAGAGTGCTCGTTGGCAATGAATGCGTCTTATAGCTGAACACATGCGACTCGGTTTGGTCCAAGTCTGTTTCTTGCTGGCACACAAATCCCAGAGATTATGTGTCTTCCACGGAAGGGGGTGATGATCTCCAGTACCTTGTGATGAACCCAGGTGGGTCCAATGGGCAAGGGAGACACAGATTTCCCAACTTTTCACAATCCAACAGTATAGCAGCTAAGCTAACATAAGTACCGTAAAGTACCCCCCGCCCCCAACTTGATTTTACAGCCAGGGAAAGGAAAATCAGATGGCAGAGTGCAACGAAGTGTGTACAGTATGAGAACCTTAGGCCGTGATCGTTTGGTCGGATCCAGATCCAGATCCACTGGATCTGCAGTGATCGATTGGTCGAACCTGGATCCAGATCTTTCGGATTTGGATCCGAGCAACCCTGCCCCGGGAGCAGGGTGAACTGGATCCATCGGATCCAAATGTGACCTTTGTGCGTATATGGCAGGTAAAAATCATTTTTGTCCCCATTGTCGTACGTCTAGTCGACTTTTTGTTGACTTTTCGTACGACGCGCGCGCGGTCAGTATGACTTTTGCCCTTTTGTGTTACCTGTCAGCGCCATTTTTTACTTCGTCAACATGGCAACAACCAAGGTCCAAAAAAAAGTGATCGGTTGATTCCGAAGGATCCGACGGATCTTAGGTCTGGATCCGGATCGGACCAAACGACCACAGCCTTAGTGTACAAAGGTCACACTTAGCAGGTTTTTGTGTGGATCTCGTATCCCCTCGAAGGTAAAATGAGAACGGATTGGCTGCACAACGTGCAATGTGTGTACAAGGTACGTGTCGTATGACCTACAGGCAAGACACCACCTCCACATTATGACCACGAAAGGACAAGATGGTGGGGCGCTCTTCTTTGAATTCAAATATTTAGGAGCCACTCATAAAGCAGCCTCCCCCTCCACACTGACCAGAAGGACAGTGCAAAACAGTCATCAATCACCAGCACTCTTGCATCCAAACATAGATGCTGTCGTGCTGGTGCGCTTCCCGCTCAGGGGAGGATGCTACATGTCATCCTCATGGCTTATGCGGTTGTCTTTGTAGGAGAACAAAGACGGGATACGTACTATAGAAATGATCCTAGTGAGTACGATCTTGATTTTCAACCAGCAGCCAGCTTTCTTATAAACACGTTCTTACTCTAGTGCACATCGTCAACGAATTCTCCAAGTTTGAAATCACAGCTGAAAGTGATACTTCCCCAACTGGGAATAAGTATAAGATCATAAGTGCTTTCATCATCAACTGTTCGGAGATGGCGGATCGTCATGGTAACCACTTTGCATCTCTCTGTTGTCGCAGGGGCGTCGGAGGGAGGTAGAAAGTGGTACGGCTCGACAGTCAGAGGGGGTGCGGGGGAAAGTTGCCCCGTGACATTTTTTTCAAAAAACACTCAGAATACCCCTCTCAGAGGGTCTCCAAAGGTACATACATGTACATGCCATGCAGTTCCGTAGTCGACAGTCTAGTCACGTGTTACACGGTGCAGTGACCTGACTGGTGCACCGGTGACGGATCGCGGCTCACGATCACGCGTGGTCATGTACAAACTCGGTACCCCCATTTTTTTACACCGGATTTGGACGTCCGCGTGGACCACCTGGAGCCAAAAGTGGTACGGCTCGAGCCGTACCAGTCGTACCGCTTCTGACGCCCTTGTGTCGTGTGGTGATTACCTGCCTCTGGAAAAATGGCGTATAACCATTTATCAACAATAGGCCATGTTCCTGCGACAGAACCTGCCCCGGCAATGCATTCGACTTCCCCACATTTGGTCCGAAGAGAAAAAACCCAAATACCAGAATCCCCTCCCTCCCTCTCTCTCTCTCTCTCTTTGTAAAGCAGTCACCACATTACGGGTCAATGAAAGTAAGGAGAAGAGAGTCGATACTGTTGTTTCTCAAGACTCACTTGTAACCCTGCACTCCAATCACACTGACGTAAACCGTCCCTGCACTGAAACATGCACAACCGTACTACAGCTGTGCTCAGTGAAGTCTGACCCAGAGTGCATGTTTGGTGCTCTCAACTTGCACTGCCCTTGACACCCTGGCTGTAACGCGAATGTGGCTGGACGCACACATGTGCCAGTACAGTGATGTAATTGGAACTGGCGCAGGATGCCAGTTTTGCACTTTGGGTCGGATTTCACCGAGCGCAGCTGTACATTCTGTGAGTGTGTGTGTGTGTGTGGGGGGGGGGGGGGGGGGGGGGAGCTGGACGATGGATCATATAGCACAGCTTCTGGGGTTCTATGGCCTTGTGACCATGACATCTGCCATGCCCAGCCAAAATTTCCCCTTTGTGTGTGTATGCCTGTGAATGTACTCTAACCCAGGCAGAGCCGCACACACGAAGAGAAAGACGGGATTATGGACTATATATAGGTTACACTCCTCATAATTCAGAGGTTCCGCATAACGTTATTAAGTTAGTAAAAAATGTAGTCGATTGCAATAATGTGATTGATCAGGAAAGTTGCCTTTTGTTGAAATTGGTTATTCTGGGTGATATGCAAGTCCCATATGGTCTAGTGGTTAGGATTTCTGGTTTTCACCCAGACGGCCCGGGTTCAATTCCCGGTGTGGGAACAGCTCACTTTTTTCTTTTGTCTCTGCTCAAAATTTTGAAAAAGAATGCAAAAAGGTAGGTCGTCCCCGGGTGGGCTTGAACCACCAACCTTTCGGTTAACAGCCGAACGCGCTAACCGATTGCGCCACGGAGACATGTTGGAAATTGCTGCTAAAGATGCATCTACATGTACGTGCTGCGTGTGCACATGGATCCCAGAGGGTGGCGGCGTTCCTATGGATGCAGAAAACTGGGTCTCACCGAGTTTCTACATGAACCGTAAACGCCTTTTTTGCATAGCAACTGCACATGGCCTCTGGGAACTGCCAAACATGGCCAACATCATGTGACCTACTGACGAAAGAGGCTATTTACACAACCAAGAGTACATGAAAACCAGAGTGTGCAGCTTGGGGCCTTTTCTACTATGGGTGTCTGTCACGGCGGAATTCCGTGATTACATCATATTGGGCGCAGATCTGAGGCGGGAAATGGCGCAGTGCGTACAACTGAGCTGCAGTTGTGCAGAAAGAGACCTGCTCGAATCCTGCTTGTACGCACTACATGAGTAAAATGTAATCCGGCCTGCACATTCTGCTTTTCCTGTATATGTAGTCCTGGCACAACGGTGTAGCAAGAAGGACCCATGAGTGTGTGTGTGTGTGATCCCCGGTAGCCTAATCGGAAGGGCACTGTCCCGGAAAGACAGGGGTGCTGGGTTCGAATCCCGCTCGTGGATCCTTCTTTTGCAACAATGGCACCGGTATTGCCATGCCGAGGGTATCCATAGTAATTTGATCACGCGAGCACCACTTGCGTAACGCTGGCTGTACCAAGAGCAAAGCTCTTTACCACTCCACAATCTTAGGCGAGACCAAAATGAAATAGAGATTGCCGGGCCCTCCCGCACCAAAATCGAGCCAAAGCCATTTTTTTTAAACAGTTCATACATGTACAGTACTGATCGTGTGAGTAGATCTGTGACGTGGAGTTCCACAAACCCGAGCTTGTACGACTCCCTGATGTACAGATCAGGGCCATCGTTGGCCGAAATATAGAAAAATTGGACGGGTAAACCGCGTACCTGTTGTCCGGGAATCTCGATTTTATTTTGGTCTCGCCTTACCACGCCCTGCTCTAGAGAGTATAGTGTGATCAATATTTCCAAAAAAAATTAAGCGCCCAACGTGGGGCTCGAACCCACGACCCTGAGATTAAGAGTCTCATGCTCTACCGACTGAGCTAGCCGGGCTGCCGTATTTCCAGCGTAGTGGTCAATCGAGATCATACCTGTCAACCTTTGTAAACCTGAGATCGGGACAATGACATACCTAGGTATGAAATGTGTACAAATGTACCTGTGAGGCATGTGACAAACATACTTCTGGGTGCCTGTTACCACCCTCGATATCGGGACGGTCCTGGCCAAATCGGAATGGTTGACAGGTGCGCTACCATAAACACAGCATCGTCAAAGAGACTGCACCTTGTCATCTGCTCGAGTTCCAACACCTTCTAGCTGGTGACAACAGAGGCAGTCGGTTTGCGCGGGTCTCCACGACTGCACCGCTTGAAAGGTCTAGTGGTCATTGGTCGAAGGTTCCTATGTTCCTACAAGTATGCAAGCACTGCGGCGCAGGACAATACAAGACACAATGGCAGTCACGTCAGGAGTAAGTGCTTTCCCAGCACATATATATCCTGTTTAGTAACGTTACAAGGCGTACGAACAAAGATGAACAGTAGCCTACTCAACATGGTCGTGAAGTCATTAATTATCTTCCACTCAGGCCCGCCAAAGGTACAACAAACTCCAAACAAAAGCAGAGGATGTGTACTGGCAGATTGAGTGTACTGGCAAACTAGATGGGTGTACTTTCCTCTTCTACACACACCACAGCGTCACACCGCGTTGCAGTCTCTGCAGGGTGAGTGGTACGCCATGAGATACTGCATCTGGACCTGGATTTCTGTACGCGTTCTTAGTTAGAACTTGCGGCAAGGCTAGTGTGAAGTTTCATAAATGCCCCGGTTTCCAACATTCTTATCTATGGGAATGGGCGTAATTCAAGCTTTCCAAGCAGGAGACTATAATGCACAGAGAGTCTGAACGGTCGTCATCTCCCTATATCCCTCACCCCAGCATACCCATGATGTTTCAGAAGGCGTAACCACACGAACTGTTTGAGCATATAATCGTTCCTCACCCCCACCCCACTCCGTCGACCAAGCCAGATTCGGAATGGTGAAGCTTCTCGAGCGTGAAAGGTGCTTTGTACACATTTGTGTTTTCACTTCTACAACCACCTCCCATATGGTCTAGTGGTTAGGATTTCTGGTTTTCACCCAGACGGCCCGGGTTCAATTCCCGGTGTGGGAACAGCTCACTTTTTTCTTTTGTCTCTGCTCAAAATTTTGAAAAAGAATGCAAAAAGGTAGGTCGTCCCCGGGTGGGCTTGAACCACCAACCTTTCGGTTAACAGCCGAACGCGCTAACCGATTGCGCCACGGAGACATGTTGGAAATTGCTGCTAAAGATGCATCTACATGTACGTGCTGCGTGTGCACATGGATCCCAGAGGGTGGCGGCGTTCCTATGGATGCAGAAAACTGGGTCTCACCGAGTTTCTACATGAACCGTAAACGCCTTTTTTGCATAGCAACTGCACATGGCCTCTGGGAACTGCCAAACATGGCCAACATCATGTGACCTACTGACGAAAGAGGCTATTTACACAACCAAGAGTACATGAAAACCAGAGTGTGCAGCTTGGGGCCTTTTCTACTATGGGTGTCTGTCACGGCGGAATTCCGTGATTACATCATATTGAGCGCAGATCTGAGGCGGGAAATGGCGCAGTGCGTACAACTGAGCTGCAGTTGTGCAGAAAGAGACCTGCTCGAATCCTGCTTGTACGCACTACATGAGTAAAATGTAATCCGGCCTGCACATTCTGCTTTTCCTGTATATGTAGTCCTGGCACAACGGTGTAGCAAGAAGGACCCATGAGTGTGTGTGTGTGTGATCCCCGGTAGCCTAATCGGAAGGGCACTGTCCCGGAAAGACAGGGGTGCTGGGTTCGAATCCCGCTCGTGGATCCTTCTTTTGCAACAATGGCACCGGTATTGCCATGCCGAGGGTATCCATGGTAATTTGATCACGCGAGCACCACTTGCGTAACGCTGGCTGTACCGAAAGACAAAGCTCTTTACCACTCCACAATCTTACCACGCCCTGCTCTAGAGAGTATAGTGTGATCAATATTTCCAAAATAAATTGAGCGCCCAACGTGGGGCTCGAACCCACGACCCTGAGATTAAGAGTCTCATGCTCTACCGACTGAGCTAGCCGGGCTGCTGTATTTCCAGCGTAGTGGTCAATCGAGATCATACCTGCCAACCTTTGTAAACCTGAGATCGGGACAATGACATACCTAGGTATGAAATGTGTACAAATGTACCTGTGAGGCATACGACAAACATACTTCTGGGTGCATATTACCACCCTCGATATCGGGACGGTCCCCGGCCAAATCGGAATGGTTGACAGGTGCGCTACCATGAACACAGCATCGTCAAAGAGACTGTACCTTATCATCTGCTCGAGTTCCAATACCTTCTTCTGGTGACAACATAGGCGGTCGGTTTGCGCGGGTCTCCACGACTGCACCACTTGAAAGGTCTAGTGGCCATTGGTCGAAGGTTCCTATGTTCCTACAAGTATGCAAGCACTGCGGCGCAGGACAATACAAGACACAATGGCAGTCACGTCAGGAGTAAGTGCTTTCCCAGCACACGTATATCCTGTTTAGTAACGTTACAAGTCGTACGAACAAAGATGAACAGTAGCCTACTCACTATGGTCGAGAAGTCATTAATTATCTTCCACTCAGGCCTGCCAAAGGTACAACAAATCAGTTTTTGCTCCAAACAAAAGCAGAGAATGTGCACTGGCAGATTGAGTGTACTGGCAGATTGAGTGTACTGGCAGATTGAGTGTACTGGCAGATTGAGTGTACTGGCAGATTGAGTGTTCTGGCAGATTGAGTGTACTGGCAGATTGAGTGTTCTGGCAGATTGAGTGTACTGGCAGATTGAGTGTACTGGCAGATTGAGTGTACTGGCAGATTGAGTGTACTGGCAGATTGAGTGTACTGGCAGATTGAGTGTACTGGCAGATTGAGTGTACTGGCATAAGATGGGTGTACTTTCCTCTTCTACACACACCACGGTGTCACACCGCGTTGCAGTCTCTGCAGGGTGAGTGGTACGCCATGAGATACTGCATCTGGACCTGGATTTCTGTACGAGTTCTTAGTTAGAAGCAAGGCTAGTGTGTAGTTTCATAGATGCCCCGGTTTCCAACATTCTTATCTATGGGAATGGGCGTAATTCAAACTTTCCAAGCAGGAGACTATAATGCACAGAGAGTCTGAACGGTCGTCATCTCCCTATATCCCTCACCCCAGCATACCCATGATGTTCCAGAAGGCGTAACCACACGAACTGTTTGAGCATATAATCGTTCCTCACCCCCACCCCACCCCGTCGACCAAGCCAGATTCGGAATGGTGAAGCTTTTCGAGCGTGAAAGGTGCTTTGTACACATTTGTGTTTTCACTTTTACATCCACCTCCCATATGGTCTAGTGGTTAGGATTTCTGGTTTTCACCCAGACGGCCCGGGTTCAATTCCCGGTGTGGGAACACCTTATCTTTTTTCTTTTTCTTTTGTAGTAGTATACAGGGAAAAATTGCTAAAAAGTTAGGTCGTCCCCGGGTGGGCTTGAACCACCAACCTTTCGGTTAACAGCCGAACGCGCTAACCGATTGCGCCACGGAGACAAGTTGATTTGGTCGGTCTAAGAACAGGTTGATAACACTGATCTTATGATATATTGTCCCTCCTTGTCACAAAGTTGTGGACAATGTTACTGTCCTTGTCTCTCCTGTTCCTATTCAGATTTGCTTCCGGTAGGGCTGAAACGATCATTCAGTAACTCCTAACGATCAACCAATATCGTTAACGATTGATATTATTGGTTTTATTGATTATTGTCGGCTCTATCGAACACCAGTTTATGAAGAAATTCCATGATGCCTTTGCTACGTTAGAAATTTGTGGCACTGCACTGTTGACATCTGTAGAAGTCTGGCTTGCTCTGTAGAAATCTGGCTGATTTTATCAACATGAGGGGGATCTCGGCGGTGAGTCTCGCCTCGCCTGCATACATGGACATTGCAACATCATAATAATAAACAACATACATGTACTTTCCATTGGCATCAGTATTCCGCGTAAGAGTTTCGTCGCCTGTGTGGTGTGTTTCTCCACCAATGAGCGCGGCCTATGATTATTTATCGCTGTTCTCACACTTTACCATTTTAGCAGCTTGCATATGCCATTGATATATGTGGAAAGCGCGCACTTGCGCCATTTCTGGTGTATAAGACTGATCATTTCTCCATTATCATCATTATCATCCTCTACTGATGAGCTCCGACAGGGAGCGAAACAGCTGTCTAGAGGCGTGGAGCAATATTATCTCTCAACGGAAGTGTCCTTGCTGGTGTCTGTATGGTTCGGCTGAAGAGCGCGTGGTTGTGATGAGTTGGGAATGCAATGAATTGGTCTTATCTTAGGCTGGTCTTATCTTAGGCTGGTCTTATCTTAGGCTTGTCTTATCTTAGGCTGGTCTTATCTTAGGCTGGTCTTATCTTAGGCTGGTCTTATCTTAGGCTGGTCTTATCTTAGGCTGGTCTTATCATTCTTACCTTATCTTATCTGTACGAAAATATGATGTAATCCAGGAGTTTTGCCGTGGCAGACACCGATACAGAAAAGTCAGAAGCTCATTCTCGGTTTTATGTTCTCTTGTTTTCGACATACCGGACATGTACAATTGTACATCAACACTGGCAATTGCAGCCACCAGTCTGCAGCCTACTTGGATTTGAGATTCACACCACTACATCAATGAATGTGCAAGTCCCATATGGTCTAGTGGTTAGGATTTCTGGTTTTCACCCAGACGGCCCGGGTTCAATTCCCGGTGTGGGAACACGCTATCTTTTTTCTTCTTTTGTGCCCAAATTATTCGGAAATGCGAGAAAAAAATAAGTTCAGGTCGTCCCCGGGTGGGCTTGAACCACCATCCTTTCGGTTAACAGCCGAACGCGCTAACCGATTGCGCCACGGAGACAAGTTGTATTTGGTGGACACACACACACACACAAGTTGGTTGTAAATTTATGAACAAGACCACCGTGCACTACAGTATGTGGTGTAGTTTGTACAATGAATACGGTAACGGAATCACAGCCATTCCGTTCCCGGGACGCAGGACCCAAAGGACGAGACTTGTTTGTTAAACTCGGATACTGAGCCAGTAATAGAATGTAAAAAAGATAGTTGCTGCATAACTCGTTCTCATGTGTTTCTTCTCTTTCTTTACACTTGTTTGTTACATTATTATTATTATTATTATTATTTCTCCTTTATTCACTTCTTTCGAAGGCGATAAGCCAGACCCACCGGGAAATATTTCCATGGGTGGGACAGCAAAAAGAAAGTGAAAAAACAAAAACAAAAATAAATAAATAAATAAAACCTAAAAACCAAAGGGACAAGATTATGATTATTATTATTATTATTATTATTATTATTATTATTATTCAACGCAATAAATAAGATAAATTGTGCACTCATAACAACAGCAAAAATGAAGAAAGTCAAGTTCCATAACGTTTTCTTGTGACTGTCATCAGTGGAACGCCGTCACATAAAAATGTAATAACTAAAACACACACTTATATACATGTAGCTAATATGGTTTCAGGTAGAAATACAGCAGCTAACAAGTACAAAAATTATATTCACACATTGCAAAGGTGCAAACTTTCTTCATTTTTGCTGTTGTTATGAGTGCACAATTTATCTTATTTATTGCCATTTTACGACTATTGTCTCCTCGTCGATTGTTTAAATTATTATTATTATTATTATTATTATTCTTGACATGACGGAAAAGAAGACAACACTCAAATAGACGAAAAAGAAGACTGACAAAAGGACTCTCGAATACAACCTCGCGCATGCTCATATCATACATGCACGCGACTAGGCGAAGACAGTTTGGGGAATGTCATCACACAGGAAAACAATACGTCATTATAATAACAACACCCCACACAGTCACCTGGATAAGGCTGTGTAGGGTGGTGAACAGCACACTCCGGGTCTCATTGTACTCTTGTCATCAAGTCACACGCGTACATGTAATACCAAGAGTCCATAAACAAGAGTATGCAACTGTGATCTCTTTTCTATGGGCCAGATGCGCGGCGCGCTGCCTTCATTACATCATTCAGCTGCAGTCCGCGCACTGCGGAAAATCAAACACTGCACTTTCCCTCTGGTTTGAAATGAACTTTCGTACGGAACTGGAGTTCACGCGCCAGAATTTAGATATCGCGTAGGTACTGGAACGAATCGAGCAAAAACGGATTGGCTCGTACGAGAAATTGTGAGTTTGAATGCATGCTTTCAGAGCGTGATGAAGGCAAGTTACGCAATGAAGGCAGTGCGCCACGCACTGCCCATCACCACAGTTGCATACTCTTGTTTATGCACTCTTGGTAATACTTGTACATACATCACGTGGCAATGCACAGTGAACTGGTTGCTGTACAGGTCTATGCTCGCCTGCACAGCAATCTAAACTGCAACGAGAGATCGTACCGTACACATCCCACAGTATCCTCAATATAGGGATACAGTCATATCTCTCTTATCCGGACAGTCCGGGACTAGGCAATGGCCATAACATGGAAATGTCCCTAACTCTGAATTGCATATACTTTGATGGGGAAAGGCGAGAGATCTGGTACATGACATCACTATTTCCACTTGGAAAAAGAGTAGTTCAACTACGTGCTTGGGTCAATACGCATGCCCTGTACTGGGCCAATACAATGGCAGTACCGGTGCGGTGCCTCAGGTAAACGCTGTCCAGCGCTGAAACGGCCACAGGATGTGTACGATTCACCATTCAATACAGGACCAAAAAAAAAAGAGTGCGCCCAACGTGGGGCTCGAACCCACGACCCTGAGATTAAGAGTCTCATGCTCTACCGACTGAGCTAGCCGGGCTGCTACATAAGAAGCTCAATGTCATCGAAGAGAAGAATTCATTTGTTTGATGAGATACAACAGTGAAGTTGCTCCTCTTATAGACTGCTCACCAACATGCATATAGATGATACCCCTGGCACTTGCCTTTACGACAAACACCGTTGATTGTGAAACTGTGGAAGTGAGATCTCTGACGGTGAAAATTACATTGCACGGTCCACAGCAGTTGTAGATTCCATGCATTTTGCTGTGCCGTATGCATTACTGGTCTATTGACGACTGCCCTGAATGTCCGAAAAACCTATCCACTTTCCATCGGTGCACTTCAGTTCCACCATCCTCTGTCTACAGTCATCAGCGTGATAGAATGGAACAAGAAAAAGTCTGAAGAAAGCAACAGTGACCGTCACAAACCGGACTTGAACGAGGACACTTTACTACAGGTGGATCATGCTACAGTGCCGGCAACTGAAATCCGCCCCCGGGAAGTGCGTTCACATCCTAGCGGTCTCCATTTCGTCGTGTTACAATCCTGTATTGGGTCTTTGCGATGTGAGCGCACCGCTCAGGAGTCGGAGTTCAGTTGCCGGCACTGTAA